CCCCAAAACCCCAAAACCCCAAAACCCCAAAACCCCTTCTATTAGCTGTCTGGTTGAAAAATGGCTTATTGCTGTATTAATTTATCTATTAAAGCCGAAGAGAAACTTTGATACTTGTCTTATTATGACCTGGGATATACATATCATGAGCATCTGATAAGGTATTTTGGTTTTCACTAGTTATCTCTACGTTATCCCTAGGAGAGACTGTGGTGTTCATCACATTTCCTACTCTTCTACTCATGAGTGAAGGTTGCTGGCCTCTAAGGGTAGAGCAGAAAGCGAAATTTCTAGTCTTTAGTGAAATTGGCTGGGGTGATAGGGTCACTTTGTTGTTTGAAAAGTTAAATTTAAGAGGTTTATTCAGATCAACCGATGCCTGTCTTCTACCAGCTGCTCTGATATTCTGAGGGGATGTAGCAGTTGCTTTCTGGATCCTTGATAGATCAACCCTTTTGTATTTCATTTCGGTGTGCACTTTATTAAAATAATTTGGATTTTTGATTATCTCTTTTGCTAATATCAACTCACTTTGAAGAACTTTAGTGTACTTATTTATGCCTCTATGGGTAAAGGGAAGAGTACTTTGATGATAAGGTCTTTGAGCTTGATCTCATTTTTGAATCAGTCATGTAATCTATTTTTCTCAGTCATTAGGGCTTCGAATTTTGCTTTGTATTCTAAAATTTCACAAGTTAAGAGATATAGCTTTTGATAAAAATAAAATGAAGCAAGGAAAATATAATTTTTGATTTGTAATAATTTATATAAATATTTCATAAATTATTAAAAACTGTTTATATTATTCCTCTAAACTTAACTTCCCGACCTCCAAATCACCCTCTCCAAAAACCCACACATACAAAACCCCACTTCTAAACTCTCAAAACCGCTCCAAACACCTCTCCTCTCTTACCTTCCTCAATTTTCCTAATTTTCCCATTTGCTATTCCATCAACCTTGCTCATTTCCTTCTTAATCCTCTCATTCTCCTTCCTACACACCTTAACCCCTCCTTCCCCCCTGGGCACCCTTTTAACCTTACTTATACTGTCTCACTGCTGAATTTGCTATAAAAATTTCACCACTGCCCCAAAAATCCCTCTATTCTCACTAAAATCCACTCTAAGCCTTCTAATCTCTAAAATAACCAAAATGGGGAAAATAGGGCTCTGACAGGTCAGATTTTGGATTTAAGGGTTTTTTAGCTGGTAAATTGGAGATGCTGGTTTTTAGGAGGAATATAATGTACTTAACCCTCAAAAATTTCAAATAAAACTTACCATTTTGCCAATCTTGAACAGTAAGTTCAGACACCGCTCTAAGAGCTTCAAACTCCTTCCTAACTTGGTTAAGCTCCAGTTGAGTCCTCCTCATCTTCTTCAAATCTTCCTCTCCTACAGATCACATCCTAATTACCTATCGCCAACGGGTTGTCTCTAATTCTCGCTTGGTACTTCTTACGGACATCTGCAATAGAGTCTGCTAAGATAAACGGGTTCTGGGTGATAAGATCCTCAAGTTCTTTCCTAGTTGATTCTAGTGACCTCTCCTGGTTAATTATTATCTGAATGAGCTTGGACACAGCATGGTCTTTTTGGAGCAATTCTGTGGTGATGATGGTCCCTTACCAGTTCTTTGAAATCTGTAGTCGATAAGCATGTTGTTTGTTTCTTTGATGAACAATTCTTGCATTGATTTTGATTTTAGAGTGGCTTCTGCCATAATCTTTATCATAAATTAATACCATAAAACTGCAAAAAAGAACCCAAACGATATTTTAACTCCTTTCCTAATCTCTCTACTAGGGGGGTAAAGACCAGTTCTAAACCCTTAAAACACCTCATACCAACCGTTAGACACCCCCTTTCCTTCTTAATGTCTGTTTTCTTACCTTATTTCTAATAATCTGCTTCATATTCTTAATCTTTTCCTCAAATGCATATCTTTGGACTTTAAGCTTGCTTTCTATAACGCTGCGATCTTCTTCTTGGCTATACCTAGCTCTCGAGAGAGCTCGGTATTCTTCATAAAGAAGAATTCATTCTCGTTGTATTCTACAAGTTAAGAACAACACTTGCTTCCTATATGTTTTGGGATATCCTGCCAGTATTCGTCCTTAAACTCAACATGCTTAGTAGAGATTTCTGCCCTTCTCTGAATCGAGCTGACTGATTCTCAGTCGCTAGGATCTTCAAAGTTATCCTCGATAGGGTTGCTACTCCTTCTCTTAGCCATTTTCTAATTTTTTTTTCAGTTTTGTAAATTATTTTTGGGGTTTTGGGGTTTTGGGGTTTTGGGG